AGTGCACATGGTAGAACATATATAAATTTAAGAACAAGGTATAGTCATTTATTTGCAAGATGCCTAAGCTAGTATGTATCTGTTGAAACATCTGTGAGAAGTGGTTGGAAATATCAAGTAGAGGATGTGGCTTGGATCAGTACCCGATTGCACTGCTTCAAACCAAATCTTCTGCAGGATATTCTCCTTGTTTGTCTGAACTCTCACATGTGAAGGATAGTACAAGTTTGGAGTACTGATAGAATGACGATTTTCATGGGATATTTTAAGCCCTCAGAAGAAACTTGTTGCAGTGTGACTTGTTCCATGCTTGCTGCCCTTGGTCCATATCTTTCCCTCTGATGAGAAGCCAGAGTTTCGGGTCCTGGCATGGCCATTGTATAAAATGTTTATTATGCAAGAGTTCAAAACTTGGCATTCAGTAATTGAGAATATGCCATTGGATTCTTGATAATTTATTTTTTAAGATATTGTAGGTGCGTCATATTGTGATTTATTTAAATAGTATTAAAAATATATTAAAATTGGCCGTCAATCACAATATAAGATAAAAGATTAAAATATCATTTTTCGTTCCTTATCGAGTACTCGATTTACATGTGGAACATTTACGACATGTTTCGGCTATCAATAGTGCCATCATCAGGTGTTATGTTATAAACTTTTTAACAGAATTACTGAATTTTACTGATTTTTTAATGATTTTTAGTTTTCATATAATGATAAGAAAAATGAAAACTAAAAATCATTAAAAAATCAGTAAAATTCAGTAATTCTGTTAAAAAGTTTATAACATAACACCTGATGATGGCACTATTGATAGCCGAAACATGTCGTAAATGTTCCACATGTAAATCGAGTACTCGATAAGGAACGAAAAATGATATTTTAATCTTTTAATTATCTTATATTGTGATTGATGGCCAATTTTAATATATTTTTAATACAATTTATTTTTTGCTGTCATTATTTTATAAGTCATGTGATTGTGACTGAAAATTGGAAATATTTTGATTTCTTCTATCTTCTATTAATTCATATAAGTGGTCACATATATGCTAACAGGATAAAAATTTGCTGTTGGCTTATCTTATTTGTGATGTGTAGGACTAATCAGGCATTAATTTTCTTTAGTATTGTAGCAAAGCTGCAGTGTTTGAAATTAAGTAGTTAATTTTTATTACTCCTGATTAGTTATTTTGTTGAAACTACATTTGAAAATGTTTACTAGTTAGCAAAATTACTGGCTGGTAAGATCTGCACTCAAATTAAATTTGCTTTTCATGGTTTGGTGTAGAAGCAATGCAACTTTAAACAAGTAATTTTTGTTTGTTGTTATAATTCATAGTGCATGCGTCTTTGTTAATGGATATTATTAATTTCTCTTTCATGGTCTATTTATTTCTTTTCATTTGCTGCCTTCTTTTATTTCTGTATGTTTGTGAGTTTGTGGATGCTGTGTATGGATGCAGTGCTCTCAAAAGTGTGATTGCCATTAAACGTGATAACTTCTGTCAGCTGAATGGGGAATCCATTTCCCATGATTTGTATTTGTAGTTGGTTGAGCGGGGCTGTATTGTCCTACTTTGTCATGATATTATTAAAAGTTTTGTATATTCTCAAAAAACAGTACGTTGTGTGTTTAAAATGCTTATGTTGGCTTTTTAGATTGTTAGAGATTAATTTGTATTTGTCTAGACAACTTTATAGAATGAGTTTGCTTACTAACAACTCTTGAAATTTTCAAACATATGTAATATTTATAGTTTTCTTAAAGCAGCCATTATTTTGTTATTGCCCTGTAATGTCAAAATGAGACAGAAATATCGAAAGAAATTTAAAGACATCTCTGATATCACATCTTTCATAAAATCTATACTTCTGTTGCCTATTTTTTCATCAAGGTAATTAGTGTCCCACTGTTGTTCCAGCAGTTTGGCTCTGTACACAGACTCAAAGGAATGGAAGTTCAATCTCGTGCTCTACTTAAAGTATTGTTGTTGTTGTTTTTTGTTGGGGGAGAATAAATATCCGAGGAGTTGTATTTTTAGAAATATTAGGTGATTGTGAAATTGTACAACACATATTTATTTATTGCTTTATTCAGACAGGTAATATGGCACCTTGCAGAGTCTTGGTTGATATATTGATATTGTGCTAAGAAACTTTATTATTCATTGTTGATTATTCCTTCCAGCTGTCATCATGTCTTTGTCACGCTGTATAGCTCCAGAGGTTAGGATATATAGCAGACAGAAGATGAATGATCTAAATTTATTATTACAAGGTGCAGCTGTCACAGTTATCCTGGTTTTTGTGTTTTTTATCTTAGTTCCTGTAATCTTACCATAACAAACATTTTGTTCTTTGTGATTTTCTGTTATGCTAAGTTTCTAAGCTACTGAAACCATCTTCTTCAGTACTTGAACCCAGGACAGTTTCTTGGTGTTATGGCCTTTGTTTCTGTTATGTTCTCTTTGAAACAAACAATGTTGGTATTGACACTGTTCTTGTACCATGCTTAGTTTCTGAGCTGTAGGAAACACCTTCACTCGGACTCAAACTATGGACACTTTTTCAGAGTTTTGACTTTTCTGGTCTCAAGATATATGCAAAGTTTGGTGCAAATCAGTTTATCCGTTCTCAAACTAGTCAACATACCCACAATTTCAGTTTTATGTTGATCTAGCTTCTGTATTTCTTTCTTTTATTGAGCTAGTCTCACACACACATGCGTGCGCGTGCGTGCGTGTGCGTGCGTGTGTATATATATATATATATATATATCAGCCATGATTGTGGCTAAGTAAAACATTCCATTTTTTATTGATATAGAAGTTGACTTGCTGGTATTCCCAATCTTAAGAACGTTACTCAATTTAATTATTATTGGTTGTAGAGAAAATGTGTTTGGGCTGTATGAAGCTATGTGGCATCTAATTGTCTCGTAGTTTTTTTGCTGCTTATGAACTGCGTTTAAGCTGTTTGATTTAGTTGTGCTTGTTATTAAGTGTTACTATTAACAGATATTCTTTTAAGTACGTTGAATATTAATTTTAATTAAGGTTTTGATAGAGATTGAATATACTAGTTTTCCATTGCCATTCCATGAAAACTGAGAATTTCATAATCTTTTATTTGTTGTTCTGTTAGCAGTGAAGTAAAGCCATAGTCTGAAAGAAAATATGTGATTTAGTATGGGATGTAGGTGTATGTGATTTTTAGGACTTCAAAGGGAATGTGTTTCTTCATCAGAATCACATTTGCAAGCTGTGTAGTGTGTTTCCATTTTAAATTTTGGGCCTCAGTATGGTAATAATTTTTTTTAAAACCTTGTTGAATATTTATCTAAAATATATAAAATCATGAATACAAACAAAACTGTTTACACTTTGAAAAACTCTTAGTACCAAACACATTTTGACCTCGTGAGGTCATTGTCAGTGGCAAAAAACATTAATTCATTAGTCTCTCTATTAAAATCATACAATTCATAAGACAGTGGTTTGTTATAAAGCACTGAGTATAAAAAGGTCGGACTTCATGAAACCATACTTCATATAATACCACACTGAATGTTTAATTGCACGTGAGTTGGTGCATTAAATAAATTGAGTTACTCGGCTTAATGTCCACTGGCCTAAGTTGAGGTTTCTGTTGTTGGTCTATGGTGAGCCGTGGTTCCGTCGTCTGTGCCTGCATTGTGAACTTCAACGTTGCGAGGGTATTACTATAATGCGCATGCAATGCAGAGTTTATCACACTGACTGAACAGAAAAATGTAAACTGTATCATGCAAATGATGTGTACTTGCAGTACTTGTTGATAATTGTGGTTTAATCAGATGGTGGTTTTCATATTTTAAAAAAATGGTTAGAAGAAACTCATGTTAGTGGAATAACATATGCCTTCTAATAAAGTATGGAAGTGTAGCTCAAGGTTATGGTTGGACATTTTGAATGTATTTTACCATGATTAGGAGAATATATTGGCATACAAGAGAGGAAATTACTAGTGAGTGAAAAGAACTTCATAATTTGTTCTCTTTGTCACATATTAAGGTGATAAAATCAAGGAAGGTGAGATGGGCAGGGAATGTGTGAAAATGCATACAAATTATGTTAGTTAATTTTGAGTACTTAATAAAATGCTTAATACTCATAATTATTGTAAGGCATGTACAATCTAAATTTACAAGATGTCCACATATTTTCAACCTCAGGATTAGATAGAGGTAAGTGAAGAGCTTCATGATCTGGGTATCTTTACCCCAAGGAAATATTCCCTGCTATGCATTTGTAGGTTAAATGAGGCCTAGAGTCATTCTGAATTTGAAGGAATCTAAAGGCAACACGGAGTTTTCCTCATTGGCATCCCAACAATTACTCCATTCACACACAGAAGAAGGCAATGGCAAACCACTTCTGGATCATCTGCCAAGAACGTATATGAACAGGTCCCAGTCCGAGAAAAGGATGGAAGGATCCTGTTCATATGGACCTGTCGTCAGACAGAACACTAAATAAATAATAATAAATCCAATCTAGCCTGTCACCATACTAATTGAGGCATTATAGCTGCACATAAACAGAAATTTGTCTTAATATTGTATGTACTTCAGATATGGAAAATATCTTTGAAGACCAAAAAGCGAGAGGAAGGCTAGTACTAAGATTGGTATTGGAAAAATAAGGCTGTAAGGTGGGAGGTAGATACACCTGACCTAGGATCGTGTCCAATGGTGTGGTTTTTGGTATAGTGATATTGAGTTTTTATATTTTATTACCAGAGAGTTATCAGTTTTATATAGGTGAATTGTATGGTTTTAAAGTTTTTATCCAGGTGAGTTATATGACCTTTCACCCCAGGATAAACATTTACACATTTCAGACTAAAATGAATCTTAGTTATGCTTTTGGCTTTAATGACGCATTTTACAGGATTGGCTTGTGTTTATTCGGAGTGTGTAATAATGAGTGCTGTATTTAAATTTGAATGCTCTGTAACTTCCTTTTAAGAAATAATTTTGTCTTGTTAATATTGGTAATTACAAGTTTTCTTTAATTTTGTAGTTTCATCATTTAGTTGGATTTGATAGTTGAATAGTTAGATTGTGCTGCTTGAATGCTGAATGGTAAACATTTGCTTATACTGACTTGTATACTTGTTTTGAATACTTATTAATGAGGAAACTGTAGTCAATTAAACAATTTTGTGCTTATTCTTATAAAAAAATATACTTTTTATTTTAAAAGGAAATGTAGTGAGATATCTAGGTATTTCTGCATGTGTGATAGACTTTACTTCTGAAGTATTTTCTACTTTTGTCTACTGGGGTCAGTTTTTGTCATAAATATGCTTGTACAGAATCTAGGTGTAAAGCAAATCTTGACTAGAAGTGTACAGACAAATATGAAAGTTATTAACTGTCTGATTCATTATGGTAGCATTGTTTGGACCAAACTTGTCTAAATATCTTTAAGTATGAAGATTTCTGTCTTCTGGGTTGTGGCGCTGTGTAGTCTGGTCGATGTTTACCAACGTTTCAGAGGTCATACTGCCTCCGTCATCAGGGCAATGATTCATCGCCCTGATGATGGAGGCAGTATGACCTCTGAAACGTTGGTAAACATCGACCAGACTACACAGCGCCACAACCCAGAAGACAGAAATCTTCATACTCACCGCTGTGAAAACCTTAAATCATACATATCTTTAAGTATTTAACAGTTATAAAAAATAGGTCTGATATTCTATATCATACAGATTTATACTTTAATCATAAGAGAATTGTCACTTCCTGTGAACTCAGAATAGCAGCATTGTCACTATGGTCAAAAATAAAAAGAAGAAATATCTGTCAATATCATGATAGCACAACCCACATGAAGTGAATTTTTTTTTAAGAAGATGAAGAAGATTAAGATAATGGTAACCTGAAGACAGGATTGGAACCAAGTTCCAGAGTGTTGTATAATGTAAATGTACTTTAGACAATGCACATTGTTTAACTTATTTGAGGTTTCTTGTATTCACATTATTGGTCACATGTTCTTCTACAGTGTATTACTGCGTCAGTGCATTTTGCTGAACTAGGCAGGGCTTCATGTGTGTGATGTTAGCATTATAAGAGTAATGCAAATGAATGGGAAGTCAGCAATAAGCCTTCATACTTCATAATTAGTTTATAGCCTGTTACATCAAACTTGGTGACTTGTTTGAATTAGGTAGAAGTTTTTGAATCAGTATATGGGCACTGATTAATATTTGAAATGATCCTGAACTGTGTATCATTGTATGTCATATCTCAAACAAGTCATCTTAAATGAGTGAAATAACAAATGTTTCATTGAAGAATCAAAATTCTATGGGTGTGATACATGAGTTCACTTAATTTCACATCTTTAGGTCCACAGAGGATCGCTTTCTGAGATGCGAAAGCATCTTCAACGTAATCCATATACAGGCATGAGCGTTACCCAGCAGATGGCACCAAAAATCCAAACTACAATGAACCTTAAGGAAGAAGAGCATATGGTTATAGATCATAAAAAGGAAAAGGGTGGTGAACGAAGCAGCGACGAGAATGGTCTTCATCATAATAATGATTTGACAAAGAGTCACCAGCAGAATGGGAGTAGTGAGAATCACCAGATAATACCACCGAAGCCATTTCCACGGTCATCACGTACTGGTTCCCTGTCAGAGATGGAAGATGTGGTAGTGGCACCACCAAAACCTAAGCCACGAACCATTAGTACCTCTGTTATTCCTCCTGTAACTTCAGTGAACCCTGCCATGCCTATTACAGGTGGCTACAAGGTTAGCATTTATTTGAAACCAGTTGTTAGTGTAAATTGTAGAATTGTCATCAAACAGTTTTAGAGATATTTGTGCTGCCAACATTTATAGTGTTTAGTTTATATGAACTGAAGTAAATTTTAAGGGAAATTTTATTGTTAAGTTTTGACAAGATAATTCCACAGTAGTTTGATGTATGTTTTTCGTTTCTTGCGCTTTAGTGCATTTGGTCAAGTGAACCATAGGTTTCTTGATGCGATGCTAATAACATTTTATAGTTGGGCCATAAGTCAGCCTTAGTCATTTTTTCCGTAAATGATGCTTATTTGAGATGCAGTTTTTTTGGTGCTGATTCTTCAGTTGTCATAGGTATAGTAATCAGTCTGATCCTTATTTTCAAAATGTTGCAGTCTGTAGTTGCTCAGGATATGTTTAATTAGCAACACTTTTTTCCAGCCTTTCATAACCTTTTGTCTGGCTCTTCCATATATTTCACTAGTTTCCACACCCTCTGATGTCAGAAATAAGGTCCCAGATTGTTGCTGTTCTTTCGTTCATACTGTCAGTGAGGAATGACTTTGTGCGTGACAGTTTTATCAGTACTTGAAGACAATGAAAAACAAGTAGATGCAAATGAGGGAAGATTCATATTGCTTATGTCTGCCATCTTATTGAGTGCAGGCAGCAATGCTTTTAGGGTAAAGTTTTCATTTATTTCTTACTTTCCCTTCTATAAGAGTGGGTGCATGTAATTTAGATGTACTCTATAATCAGCTGCTTTTTTTCGTGTTATTTTAAATAAGTGGAACAAATAATACTGAACTGCTTATGTTACATCATTAGGAATGATCTTTGCAGGTGTGGTGGAATAGAATTTAATAATGTATGATAGAAGTGTTCTCAAACATGGCACAATGAATCGAGATAAATGCCAAGAAATTATGAACGTGGAGTAAGGATGTGATTCAGGAGTGACAGTAATTTATGATCAATATTAATTGAAATATTTTCATGTTGGGTAGAGTATGCTTTAAAACCTACCAGTAGTGCATGATGTAAAAGTTGAATTCAGGTAGAAAAGCTAGTTATTGTCCCTCATTGCTGTGCCTTTGAATAAAATACATGGAACTGAAGTAGAAAGTTGTAATTCTGCCTTTGATGGACTTCAGTTTTTGATACAGCTTAATATAAAAGCTTGCAGTAGTGGAATTGACCACTGTTTCGTATGTTGTTTATATTTAGTCTGTATAAGGGTTTGCCAACCTTTTTGAGTGATTGGCAACTAGGGGAAGCTTTTAAATTTTGTTGTGTACAATGTGATTGTAATGAAAGATGCAAATTGCAATAATTACATTATGAATAGCTTTGATCTTTGTGTTTCTAAAATATTGTTTTGGGACTCTCAGCGTGATGAAACATACCTGTTGAGTAATAAGTCATTTCTTTAACCAGTCAAGCATGTAGTTATATTAAACCTTACAGTTCTGTGTTGCTTAGTGATTGAAAGCTGTACTTTGCTAGTCAACATTTTGGCGGGGCATAACAGAGGGATGCATGAGAGTGAAGAAGCTGTATTGTGTTAACTATTGGAAGATAATAATTGTAGTGACATTTTTGAGAGTGAATGTAGTCATACTGACATGAATGTGAACAATTTGTCACATGGCCAACAGAGCTTCAGTTAGCTGTAATTATGAGGTTATAGTCTCTGACAACAGTACGTGGACAAAGTTAGGCACTGAGGGACCACATTTTCATTTAGGCACATGCCTGGCTTAAATGTTGATAAGAATATACCAATATGGAATGTTTTGAATTATTACTTTCCAGATTACTGAACTAATAAACATAGAAATGAAGTGGCATGATCAAACACACCTAAATTAAAATGAGGATATGGGTTGAACCACTATAATGATATAAAAGAAGAAAGTTACTAACATTGTATTTGTTTCTTCACCAAGAACCAGACTTTTTTTCAGGAGGAAAATACTGGAAAAACATGTATTTTTGGAATAGTTTATTGAGAGAAGGTTTCATCTTCTACTCAAGTTTCATCATTTTGAATGTGTGTATTGATCACAAATTAAAATTTAATATAATCTAGCCATTCTGCCATCATGGTGTACTTGAAAGTATTTGTATGTCAGTGCAGAATATTATAAATTTATATAGGTGATTCGGAAGTGTTATCTAATTTGAGGTCATTAACATTCCATTTGGGATTGTTCTATACTGCCTACACATTATTTTTCATTGTCTTCAGGTGATTCAAAATAAGGCCCCTTAAAGGACATTTTTAGTTTGTAGAACATGAAGTCACATGTAGCCAAATTAGGCAAGTACAGTGGATATTCTGATGCTGGTATTTACTTTCTCTCCAAAAACATGCTTTACCTAATGTGTTATATGTGATAATTTATTGTCATCATGCAAAATTCAGTTGTCCAACAAATGATTTGATCCTTTGAAGGTTGTGTGCCTGTAAATTCTTTTATTACTTTGTCCAACAAATGATTTGATCCTTTGAAGATTGTGTGCCTGTAAATTATTTTATTACTGAAAAGGTAAATTAACATGGTTTCAGCATTCATACTTTTTCCAATCTCAGAGGCTGTAGACTTTTCCATTCAAGATTTGGCAATTTTGTTTCTGTGGATTGTACTCGATGACCTGAGTCTAATGACATCCCGCAGTTTTCTCTGAAAGGTCCGGTTCTTCCAGCAGTCTTGTAAAAAAGGTTTGAGAATCTCCTTTCTCATTTTTTCCCATTGTGAGTTTGTGGTGCCATTTTGTCACAGATTTTGTCATGTTCAGATGTTTGGTCGGAATCGGTCTCTCATTTACTATGTTCATTTCTTCTGCTGCCTTCTGTGCAATCAATCAGTGATAATTTCTCCCCATTTCATTTACATTTTTACATTTGTATCAATTTGTGGAATGTCAGATGGTTGAATCATATGTTGTTTGTAACAATTTTTCTTCATTCTTGAAGTGGCTTAACTGACACAAAATACAATGTTCTTGTCATCATTTCCTCTCAATATTATCTAAATGTTATTCCCATTTTTTTTCAACATCACTAAGAATGTATTTCAGTCAACTGATTGTCGGACCTTGTAGTAGCAGCATAAATTAAAGTTGCACAACTTTAGTTCAGTACTTCTTCAGGTAAAGTAATTCAACCTATGATGGTTTCAGAAATGTAGGTACTGGAAAGAGATGAAACTTTATGTTGGTATAAATAATTTTATATCAATATCAGTTCGTAATTATACATTTCTTTAATACGAGGGTCGCTCATTAAGTAATGCCCCACATTTTTTTCCTCAGAATATATTTATTCAAGATGGCTGAAATTTAGTGACAATATAAATCAATGTTTCCCTTACACATACTATTTTTCCACATAGTCCCCATCAACTTGTACGGCTTTACGCCATCGTGGAACAAGTGCGTGCATGCCTTGCCGGTACCAGCTCTTGTCCTGTGAACGTAGCCATGTCCTCACTGCTTGAATCACGCTCTCGTCATCTTCAAATCTTGTTCCGCGGATAGCATCTTTAAGTGGCCCAAAGAGATGGAAGTCGGAGGGTGCCAGATCTGGACTGTAGGGTGGATGGGGTAGCACCGTCCAACCCAATTTGGTGATTTCTTCCCGGGTTCTCGGACTTGTGTGAGGGCGTGCATTGTCGTGCAGGAGCAAAATTTCTGCTGGATGCTTGTGAGGCCGAACTCGTCGAAAACGCTTCTTGAGGGTTTTCAGGGTCCCGATGTACGCGTCTCGCACCTCTTGGCATTACATCCACAAGAATGAACCCATCACTGTCCCAAAAG